CGTGGGTTCTACACCGCTGCTCCGAACTTGTGAGATAAGGTGCCTGTCTCCAGGAGGGTTGTCAGCCCCCACGGATTACCGCCGAGAACCAAAATGGCTGCTGGTTTGTTGGCGAGTGCTATTACAAAGGGTGGCGCATCACCCTAGCAAAGCGCACATGAAGGCTCCCTAGTAGTGGTGCAAAACTATCGATAGTACTATCGATAGTCGACTATCGATAGTACTATCGATAGTCGACTGTCGAATAACTATCGATAGTACTATCGATAGTCGACTATCGTAAACCTATCAAAAGTACTGTCGACGGTTTACTATCTATAGTTTAGCGACACTAGTAGCTTGCGTCGCTCCCTCTTCTCTGTTTCTCGCTTTATTTTTTTTAATGGCATACCAACTAGCCCAAGCACTTACCATACCAACTTTGGTTCAGCTTTCAGTGATGCCGAAGGCGAGAGTTTGGGCGAAGAGGAGGAAGGGAGGCGAGCGGCGTTGCGGCAACTGTGTTCGCTCTAGTAGTGCAAAACCATCGATAGTACTATCGATAGTGTCGAGAGTCGCCACAAATCTGACTACCCATAGTAATAAAACTATCGATAATGTCGCAAAACTATCGATAGTCGACTATCGAAAGACTATCGATAGTCGACGGTCGAAAAACTATCGATAGAACTATCAATAGTCGACTATCGAAAAACTATCGATAGTACTATCAATAGTCGACTATCCAAACACTATCGATAGCACTATCGATTGTCGACTATTGAAAAGCTATCGATTGTAGTACTATTCACAGTCGACTATCGATAGTTCTGCGAAACTATCGATAGTAGATTCATCGATAGTTTTGCATCACTACTCTCTAGAGTGAACAAAAGCAACACAAAGTTGTCTCGGAATGCGTTCCGCTTTTCTTTTTAATTTCTTTTATGAAACGCGGAACAAAAGACTCGACCGTAAATCACGGGCTCACGGCACCTGGGATAGCTTTCGGAAAGAAAGCTATCGCCGCGACTGCTGCGGCACCCACGAGACAGGCTCTCCATCGGCGTTAGACAGTTCACCGATTTCCGCGAGGTGGCTCTGTCGCTTGGCTGAAGAGTCGGGAGTGTTCGACGAGGCCGGAAATGGTGAAGACGGGGCGAGAGGGTCACGCACAAAAAGGTTGAAAATAAGCAAATACTAAATGCTGTTTTCGACAAGGCGAAACGGGAAAACCGAAAGTAGAAAAACGTCTGCCCTCTGCGCCGGCACTTTGCTCCGACAAAAAAAAAAAGTTTTGAGTTTTGGTTTTATTTTGTCACGTCTAATGTGGGGCCCACATTAGACGTGACAAACCCGCTGTAGTGTTCTCTACATAGGGTAATTTTTTCGCGAAAAGTGTCTGTGTCTTTGCAAATAGTTTTTAGTTATACAAAAAAGTATTTAACTTATCGTTACAGTTACAAAAAATGTATCGACTTATTTTAAAGTAAAAAAAAAAAAAAAAAAAGGCTACGAGTATGGCGATACTACCCAAGACTGAAAACACATAGAAAAAGACTCGCTCGGCGACGGCGGTCGTTGCGGCGCTCTTGCCCAACAAAATCGACAGATTTACAATCGTGGTGTCGGAAACAAAAAGAAAGCAGAAGCAAGACGAAAAAACTGATGAAAAAAGAAAAGTGGTCCGCTTTTTTTCTTACGAAAGCGGTGCAAAATCGCTTTGAAGCATGCCCCCCCCCCCCCCCCCCCCCCCCCCTTTCCCGGGCGGCCCGTAAGAAAAAAAAAAAAAAAAAAAAAAGCGCTCGCAAGGAAACAAAGTTGAACATAAAAGACAAAATAACATTGACGTGTTGTTGGCGATGTGTTACTCTATGGAGGCGGCAAAATCCGAAGGCGCCACCAGACGCGACCGAGAAGGCGAACGACTCGGAGGCGCTTTGCCGCCGGGTTCCCGAGCGAGCGCCAGCCTGGCTCTACGGTAGCTCTCTCTTGGGTGTTGTCTCAACTTTACGAGGGGGTGATGACAAGTGCGAGTCTTTTCTTTTCATTTTTGGCTAGGGGATAGCCAAACCAGCACCGAGCAGACCTCGTGTTCTCGGTGCTCGTTGACTTTGTCCCCTTCAACTTCGGTATTCGAGACAGGAAGGTAAGGTGGGATCTTACATTCGAGCACGGTTCCAGCAATATTACAAGCAAAACAATAGTAACTGCTACTTTAGTACTAGGATGGAGCAATGTGCCTAGAGTAATGTTTGCAATCAAACCCGACAAGATGACAAAACTAAATTAAGCACACTCGTATATTTATTCGGCTGCTCCTGTACCTAGAGCTCGACTTCTATTATCTTGTTGCGCTACAAAATGATATATTTCGAATTATTTGCTAGACGAAATCGCATTTGTAACTTGGTAATGCGTCTTTCCGAACAGGAAAGGCGGAGAGGGGGGCTACCGCCTACCCAACCCCCCCTCCCCCCCCCCCCCCCCCCCCCCACCCCACCCAAGGGAAATTGAAAATTTGCCGCCTGCGTCGTCATCGACTTTGACGTGAAGCATCGAAACAGTTTTCATCGAAAAAGCAAAAAAGAACGTCTCATTTGCATCGTTAGCCTTGACAAGAACATTGAATGAAATTTATCAGGCCAGAACGAGAAAAAGAAAAAATCATAAACATGGGCAGTCACGGTACAGTGACTCATTCCTTGCCGGCGCTCCCGTTCGTAACCTCCCCTCCTTCGGTGCTCGGGGTCAACGCGTGAATTTTTCGTGTCCGGAAACAAACCTTCGTCGTTGCCAAATGAGACTGTATTTGTCTACGAAAGCCCTCCGTGTTTTCAGTCGTCGTTTTAAGTGACGTCCTCGGCGTTGTACACTTGCTCGCCACTAAGCTGGCTCGGGGAGGCCGATGATGACGTCACGACGCTTTGGACAGATAACAGGCCTCAGGGCCCTTGCCGCATGCCCTTTAGCAATCCCTGCACGCGTTTTCCAATATAAACGCGCTTACTCCTGCCCAAGTACAATGCAAAAACTGCACTCACCGAGGCGCTATAGAAAAGTCCGCTCCCAACTCCGATATCCTGGAAAAGTGCTTCCATCTAAAAATGTTCAGTGCCTAGGCTTGAAGTTTGGATGGTGGATACAGGATGGGTCTGGACTATTCACGACTACAAATGGTTTTGTTTATTTTGGGGCGAAGGTAGACTGCAAAGCCAAAGGGATTGACAATTCCCCTCTCCTCCGCTTCGCAGTTCGGTTGGGCCACGCAGTTTTCGCTGCACACTTCCTGCATGTTTATTTTGTCACGAAAAGAAAGGGGAGGTTTGAGTTTCCAATCAGGGGCAATCTGGCATCTTGGGACAGGGATAAATAAAGGAAAGGGGGAGAAACAGTGATACACAAGTTGAAACATCCGATGCACTGTATGAGTCCAAAAGCCAACGGGTGTGTTTAGAATTGCGCTGATGAGAAAAAGGAGCCCACGACGAGGAAGGAGAGATCATCCGCTATTATCGCAGTGCCGATCCGAGATGGCAAAGTCCGTCAATGTACCGCGGAGATTCCCGTCTCGGCTCCGCACCACATGCAGGGATGTTGCTAACTAACTACGTGAGTTTAGACGTTGATTTGTGGTAATTCCCAGGTTCTCTTCTTCGCGTCTTGTCTGCTGAAGGGCGTCGCCTCCGTAGCGTCGCCTCCTACGGAGTTGTGAAGCAGTTGGAGCAACATTCTGCGACATTAAAGTTGATAAACGGTAAGGCACGACGATTAAAACGTACAGCGCAAAAAGACGGGAACGCACAATCAGCGATTGCGTGTCCTCTCTGCTCTGTCCCGTCTTTCTACGTTTTACGTTTTAAGGTTAATAAAATCAACCTATAATTTGCACGTGACGTCGCACCATGTATGCTAATGGGGGTCATTATTATGTATTCTTACCCACTGAAAAAAAAAAAAAAAAAAAAAAAGAAACAAGGTGGCGCGAAATGTGTGCTGCAGAAATTCGCGCTCAGCAGCATGGCCACCAAAATTCATGCAAGCCATGATGGACACCCATGGGCTCCCCCTTTGATTGTGACGTCACAACAGAAGGAGGTTGTGACACGTTCAAGACTCATCATTGGCTTTGTTCACCATTCTTGCTTCGATTCATTCGAAGGGGCAACAAAGCTTCAGTGATGGCAGGTGCAACAGCTCAGTGCTACAGGTCATAGCATGGGCTTCTTTTTTAGCCGGTTTCACATACAAAAATTTTCGGCAAAAAAAAAAAAAGAAAAAAAGGAACATGTGTAAAACCGTACAGGCAGGGCTTGGCAGACAGAACCATTCGAAAAAATGTATAATTCTGTTGTCATACTGGATACTTTTTATCCAGACCTGTTGGAAGTGGAATTTACTTTCAGAAGAGTTGGCTTCAATTTCGGAAGATTCAGTATTTTTTGTTTACCAAATATTATAGTTGAGTTCAAGTGTGTGTGTGTGTGTGTGTGTGTGTGTGTGTGTGTGTGTGTGTGTGTGTGTGTGTGTGTGTGTTTATATATATATATATATATATATATATCGCGGTACCAGCCTCTGCTGCGTTGCGCGATGACAGCGGAGCAGAGGTTGGTTGCACTATCTCTTTATGGGCCGCGGTGCCGCCGGGGCTGAGATGCTCTCTGATAGCAAACCGAAGCTTAAAAACCCGTCGATTTTGTGCGGTTTTTCAGAAAGCCGTAAAATGCTTCGCGTGCCTTCTATCGTTCTGCAATACGTTGCTTTAGTGTTTTTCGATGATGCTGAGCAATTTTCTAATTTAAACCATACCCTTAAACAGAATATTAAAAAGTTAATTACGCAAAAATAATTAACAACTTAATTATCCGGGACTTCAATAATTTTCCTAAATGGGCCCCTGGCCCCAAACCCAAAACGCCACGAGCCTTTTTTCGTCGCGATGAGTAGTTTTCGCCGGAGCGATTTGGCCTGCGTTCTCTGAAACACCCTGTATGTATGTATATATATATATATATATATATAGATTGTTTTGTTTATGTATCTAAAAATTGCGTCTCTTTGTATGCATTCTTTTATACTTGCATACTGCCAAACGGCGGCGAAACTATGGTTGAAATAATAAATGAACGCTCAGTATTATCTAGCGTAGACCCTTTTTGGATGCAAGTTGGCGCCTGCCTGTGTGACCGTCATTTAAACCATCATGAATTCTTCGATAGATCCGCGTCAGCCTTCAACCTCCAATCCAGCCGGAGCATCACTATCTCGCAAACGAACTAACACGGGACGGCGATAAACCTGTAGAGATCACAGTGCACGTGCCATCTAAACTCTCCCAGGCACCTCTTGCCATTCCACCAAAAGAGGTGCGGCCCCTAGCCGCTAGGCGGACGACTGCGGGCTAACGCGCAGCACAGTTCTCGAAAACCCAAAGTCCATACGCGTGTGCAAGCGCATGCTGCTGGGCGCCGCCATTTTGCTGCTGGTGTGCCCCGGTCGTCCGATATTCCGGATATTCGAGGTTGCCCGACTGGTGCCCCGACAAAGCCCTCGATGTTCACACTAACTTTTGAAGCGTTGATGCTTGCGAGCGCGAATACATATGGCTTGCATGTGTCGTCATATCCATGTGCTGGTGGCCATCTTGGGTCACCTGCCGAGAAAAACACGTTGGGCGGTTCGAACTGCACATTGAAAGAGGTACCCGCTCATGCAGCAAATCTTCTCTCCCCCCCCCCCCCCCCCCCCCCCTTTTCAAATGGCCGCTGAAGAGACGTCACCACGAGCCGTGTATCACGGTTTCAGGGAGTGACGCCGAGCGAGCCGTGAGTTGAGTTGGCGCGTCGGCAGGATTCGCAGCAGCCTTCCTTGAAGACCGGGTAGCTGCACAGTCGGGCTTGGACGACCAGAGGGCAGCGGGTCTTGGTGTCCCGGCAGGCGCGGTCGCCCTGTCGGGGCGGAGGACAGGCCTGCAGGCCGCAGGCGCGGCGCACGGAGGGCTTGGATGACCCGCGGCACTCTTGACTGGGACGACCCGCGGTGTCTAGGCAGAACGCCTGGCGGTTCTGGACTCCGGTTCCACCGCACGAGCTCGAGCACTGGACGAACAGCGAAAGAAAACAAAAGGTCTGCGACGTGTCCAGCGGTTTTCATTTTCACTGACGATCCGCGTGCTCATTAAACCTCAGTGCACATACATCATACATAAAATTCGGTGTTAGCTGCAGGCGCGATGCCGAAGTTATCTGCATGCTTGCTTCGTACTACGCTTAGAGCAGGTCTTAAGATTGTGCTTGTATGGATGGATGGATGGGTGTTAATGGCTATACACCCTTTGTAACGGGCGGTAGCTTCCACCACCTAGCCTAAGTCTAAAAAGACAATATATAAGATCGCGCCTAATCCAGTGTTTGCAGACTCTTTTATGAGTGTAACCACGCCTTTGTGTGCTGCTACTTTTAACTGCTAAATGTGCAAATCCCTGATTGCACCAGTGCCTCGTGGCCGTTTGCCGCAGTTCAACCATGAATGTATCTGGGCCGCATAAACCAATGTTTACTCTGGGTTTATTTTTAATGCGAAGGCATTGATAATAATAATAATCTTTATTCATATTCTGTATACATCGAAATCACTGCATATCGCATCTGGATCCTTAGCCAGCAAGCCGGCTTTATCAGCTTTTGAAGCCGCGCCAAATGGCACCTTAAATTCCCTTGTTCTATGAAGCGATGCCTGTAGTCTGTAGCAGCGAACTGATAGGTAGATTCCCATTGGCTGGCGCGCAGCATAGTTCCAAGGAACGCCACCCCACTGCCACGGCGCAGCGGCCCGGCAGCCGGTAAGGGGGGGAGGATGGCTGGGCTCTGGAGAGTGGCCGGCCGCACAGCCCGCCCGGGCAGCGTCCGCAGACGTCACTCAGTTGGGCTCAGCGCGGCGCACAGCTTGGAGGAACACGCTACCTATACGAATGCTTTCGCATTCCTACACGTTAGCAGTCTTAAGTGTCTTTGTAGTTTTCGTCGTCTTTTAAAGGGCAACTCCGCTCAATTCCGAAGATTTCGGGATAATGAGTGATTTCGAATTAAAAAGCCCTAGTAAAAGACACTACGTCGTTTGCTTCACGAAAAATGGGATATATATTTTTAAATCTATTTTTAAGGCTGCGGTCCCACGGCAGCCATCTTGAACAAGGCGTTAGTTCAACCAATAGATGGCGACACGCACCCGTGGGGTCCATATCAGAAGAGCGAATGACATTTTAGCGAAAGGCGACATTTGAGCGAATGGTCGTTTTAGCGAATAACGGGGGCCCGCGTTAACCCATCCGTCGCGCTGCGCTTTACGCCGCTTCGCGGCGACAGTCTACGGCAACTCATTACAAAAATATGAACTGATTTGGCCCACCCGAAAACGCCGCTTCGCGGCGTCTGACTTTTCGCTAAAGTGTCGTTCGATGAAACGTGGGCGTTCGCTAAAACGTCATTCGATCAAGTGAGTGCCTCCCGCACCCGTGGGGTGGCCGAAACATTGGTTCACAGTGGGATGGCTCGAGCACCATCACGTTCCCCTCGTGGCCTTGCTCGCGCCGCTGCCAGCTGTGCTCAGCTAGCTCAAGTAGCGTGGCCCATCAAACGGATGTATGCGAGAATGTCAGGCTGGGTATAAATTGTTGTCTGATATAGGGAGATGCGGTCGGCGGTTGTAACGTGCTTTCGCAATAAATCTTACCAAGAAGGAATCAAATGTTGATTGACGTGTCAATATTCTATCAATGAAAATTTTCTCTGCAGGAATGCACGCTCAGTAGACTCAACCAGTAGAAGCGGACGTCGAGTAAACTGCTTCGCGATTTACGGTACTTACCTCACCATTTTAATGACGACTAAAATAACGTCACGAAATATTGTGTTTCACGGGATCCGGAAGATGTTGTAAAGGTTGTTACATTATAGTTCCCGGAAAACAAACGCCGTTGCAATATTTTCAGAAGTACCGACACACATTATGTTGTAAGTACAGCTTAGGGAAACCATCAGAAGAAATAGGAAGACGTTTATTTGCAATGAAGACGCTATGAATGAACGGCGTATAGCGACGGCAAGTTATGAGCGTTCGGGAATTGATAAGTTGGCGTGATTGCTAACCATGGACATGCGGACAATGAAGACCAGTTTTGTCGGGAGATGGTGTTGTGGTGATGACCGGATATCGGACGACTCATGGCAGACGAACAAGCAAGTTTCTTCTCAGCGATTGGTAAGTGTCCAGTTTCAAGCACAACACGTGGCTACCGACGTTGTCGACGTTTCGAACACTTACCGCTTTCTACAGAAGTCCTGGCACCTGGGCTAACTTTGTGGAAAGACTCGAACAGTAACTGAAAACGATCCACTATTCAGTCGGTGGGTGGCAAAACGTATCCACATCTGCGGAGTTATGTACGGTGCGTACTCTAAGTGGCTGGAAGTTTACACGATGTCTGCCACGACGTCCAAACATGTCATTGACGTTCTACGGTCTCTTTTACCTACTTTTGCCCTACCGAAAATACTTTTCTCTGATAACGCGCCAAATCTTGCTTCAAATAAAATAAACAAGTTTTTGAAGAAAAAAAAAACGGCATCAGGCATCACATTAGTGCACCATACCATCCTGCAACTAACGGGCAAGCAGAACAGATGGTGTGCGAAACGAAAAAAAAAAAAATCCCTTTTGAAGCTTACGGAAGAAGCAGTTCAGTGAAGAATCGCCAGGTTCTTGTTCCGGCAGCACGCGTCGGTCTCATCTTACACGGAAAAAAACCCGCCGAAGCAATATTCGGCGGAAGAATAGCCACACCCCTCGATCTCATGATACTACCGCTTACGAACAAAGATAGAGAGATATCCACATCGGGAGTAATGGCAGTTTATTCGGTCGGACAACTCGCCTACGTGAGGAAGTTCAGCGGAAGTCTGGCCTTCCATGTAAAACTTGAGTAGAAAAGGCTCTATGTTGGTTGACCAGGAGGTGTCATCTCTCTGAATAGGTTGGATATCAATGCCCTTAAGTGTAAATATAACTAAATCACAAACCTTTCTTTGTGTATTGTGTAACTGCCCTTGTATTTGATAGTAGAAGCTACGGTGGTGATCTGGACCTTTCACACCAGACTCCTTTTTCTTATTTTTCGCCTCATACTCCTTTGCGGTTTAAGTATGCTTCAAGAATCTTTTGGAACGGGGACACTTTACGTCAACGAGGCCATTTGTTCCAAGTAGTCAATCAGGGAATGCTGATAGAAATCCGTCCCTCATATTAACGAATAAGCCGCGCTTCTGCACAGTGCAGGTTTCCTGTTCCACGTACAGTTGTAAAGCAACATCCTCATTGATTCTACCATATACTGTTGCGGGTGAAGAAAGTCTTCGGGTACACGATACTTGAAACAAGTCTGGCACTGTACGTTGTGGTTCAACACCCATTAATGTCGTCGTCCTTATAGAGCCTCATCATTTAATCATTACCTCGTCACCTCATATTGCTCTTCATCAACAGTAAGTACAATAGGCTACCACCACATTACAATCCAAGAATTGAAAAATTAAGTCGTTCAGTCCTTCAACCAGTTTATAATTTATATAATGTTATTACGTTACATTACCTCGAGACGATCGACGTCCATTGTCGATCTTCAAAAACTTATACCTGTATATAAATTAGACGCACAAGTGGGGGTTGATTGCCGAGTGCATGGTCTAGCGCACACCAGCTCGGAGCACTGGGAGCGAAAGCTCGCGCTGGAGAACCCACCCCGCCCCTGCCCGTTTCGATCTGGAAGAGCATCGTACCGGCGTGCGGTCGTGCATCACTACTGCGTGGCGCACGTTGAAGACCCCAGGTTTTCGGTTGTACCGCACTGGCTAAATTGCTCATCTACAGCTGAGACACCAGACGCCCACTAAGGGAGTCTAACTTCCGGCTGAATAAACATACACACAACAATTTGCAATTAGACGCATAATAACAAAGAACACAGTGTGCCACCTCTTTTCTTTGGATGCCTTTTTTTCTAAACCAGCGCAAGCTCGTGCGTTCTCTCTATTGAGACGGTAGAACGGTCGCGTATAAAACCCGCGTTTCTCCTACCCGCCCGCTTCCTCCTCTCATTATGTGTATTTGGTTATAACTAAATAAGCTATAATAATGGTGTATTATTCATATTTACTTTCAGTTTCAGTCAGGGAAAAGGAGTTTCGCGGCAACTAGAGCCAATAAATGAGCTGCGCTTAGAGTATCGGCACTCTCTTCCCCGACAGTGTTGTGAACGCCGCCATTTTGGTGCTTGTGCAGAGCAGGCGCAACTGCCGATCGTCATGATTCAAAAGTGCGACATCGTCAGCGTTAGATTCGGTGTTAGGAAGCTCATGTAATGTTGCTTTGCTTTGTCGCAAACTGTTTAAAGTGGGGGACGGAAAAGCGTTTCTTGTGATTTCAGATAAAGCTTCAAATAACTGGCAACCATAATTTTAAGCCATACTAAGGCCAAGCGTGGCTACTCTGAAGCGTAGCTTATTTAATAACACTATTCATGCTCTTGTTCAAGAGGCTTGTAATACCTAGGGTGCCTCAATGTCCTTCTGTTTAGGGTGATGCCACCCTCTGTAGTACCCGATGCCGACAGCACGCGCTCACGGGGAAAATACAAAGAAATCGACGAAAACAAAATGTCGCCATAGCACAGTCAGCGCCACGAGCGCGTGCAGGGACACGCTCTTTCACGCGCTTCTGAACAAAAAAATAAAAATAAAAGAGGGGGACAAAATGGCCAGATGTCGTGCTCCACCCTAAGCAAAGGGCACATGAAGTGCTCCACGCAGTAATACCTGGAGGGGCCATATCGTAAGCCCCGTGGATTCCACAAGCCACTACCTTTTGACACCTGCCTCTTCTTCATTGTTCCAGCTTGTGCCAGTAAATTAGCTACGGTTCAGAGTAACGACACTTGGCCATATTGTGGCTTAAAATCATGGTTGCCAGTTATATGAAGCTTTATCTAAAATCACAGGAAACGCTTTTCCCTTCCTCACAAATGTTTAAACAACCCGCGACAGAGCATTGCAATATTGCATCAGCTTCCTAGCACCGCATCTAATGCTGAGGAAGTCGTACTTTTAGATCACGATGATCGGCAGTTGCGTTTGCTCTGAGCAAGACCCAAAATGGCGGCGCCCAAAACAATTTTGGGGAACGGAGTGCCGATACTTTAAAGCTCATTTAGTGACTCTAGGCATAAAGTGAACTCGGGTGTATTCTTTTCCTCTTCGTCTTCATTGTTTATTGATTTCAATCATATCGAATAATGAACAGATTATATCACGCTACGCTTGTGTAAATGTTGGTCTTAGATTTATTAGCCTGACCCAGTACTTAAACCATTCAGTTATCGATAGTAAATCTTCCAATATATTTTTTAAATGTGAGGGTAAAAAGACACGGAGATTGATGAAGATACAGACGCCAACGCCGCCCTCGGAAATTTTTTGAACATTAGAAATCAGCAGTTTGTCTGCCATCCGCCAGGTAGCGCAACAAAACACCCGAACAGTTTTTAATTGTTTTTAAAATTAGCTAAGCTCTACACCTATTAAGAAACCAAAGCAATATCATTGTGAAAATTTAATACATCGCAATGTATATCTATTCCAAACTATAAATGTTATTAAATGCCAATAAATCTGTTTGATGTCCAAAACAGATATGCGTCAAAAACAGGTAAGTTTGAAGGGCTCCTGGAGCGTTATGACTTTGAAAATGACAAAAAGCCATCGTCCACCTCTTGGGCAACCATTGTAGCTCTAAATGTTATAAAAGATTTTATCATAGTTTAATTATTTCTTCAGCGGCATTTGAACTACCATGACACGAAGCACAAAAAAGTGCTACGTTTGATATAAAATATCTAAACAAAAAAAATTTACACAACATTACATTTTTTTCTGCATATTACCAATTATAAGCACTACATCTGTAGCTAATTTCATTGCCCTAGCTCTTGTCATTAAAAACATATTTGTGCGGAAAAATGTCAATTTTAGGGCAATATTTGGAGGGATGAAAAAAACAAAGTAGTGCAAATATAAAAAAAGTGGATCGTTAGATTCTGCTCCGACATCATCTTAACAAAACTGCTATATTGGAACCGTGCTATCTTTAATGGATCGTTCATAAAACATGAACTAGCGGAGGAAGTGAGGGTCCGCGCCATCATATTCGCAACGCTACAAATGCGCATGAACAGTAAAAACCAACACATACATAATATCAAATGAAAGAGGATTGCATTGCCTTTCAAATGACATCAATCCCAAAAAACAGTATTTAAAAGGAGATGAGTAATGGCCTGCCGAAAAGTACCTAAACTGCCACATCCAGTGGGACCGTGGCCTTAAACACGAGCGGAAATCGAAACCGTAACTTCGGCTCCGTCCGGCAACATTGGCCTCGGGCCGCCAACTACATGGTCATCACGTGGTACGAGATGTCACGTGATCCTCGGCCCAACGACGGGCGGGAAGGGGGCGGGCGGGCGTGCGGCAGGCGCGAGTGTCGTCTGCACCGCACTCTTCGCCACGTTTTGGTGTCTACGGCATTCGACGACGTCTGCACAACTGCGGCATAGGTCTGCGACTCTGCGCACGTGGTGTCCATTGTGTGGACGAAACTCCGAGAGGCAATAATCACAAACGGTGAGACGACGACGGTGGTTGTGACGCGGAAGACGGCGGTAACGGCGGGACAACGGCGGGACCACGGCGGGCGGTTGGTCTGCTCCCAAGAAGCGCGCTGCGCAGGCGCGTACGCCAATCACGTGGACACCGCTGAGCGCCGAGAGGCAACGTTGCTGACGTCATGCGCTACGCTCGATCGGAGAAGTGAAAACAAGCAAAAGGGGGCCATGATGATGACGTTTAGCTCAATGTTGGCTCCGCCCATGCCGTAGCTTTGACTGCGCTGTTGGTTGCGCCTGAATTCGCCCGCTCGAGTCAGCCGATTTCGGTAACTTGGCGAGTTGCAAAGTTTGCCGGACCGTTTAAGGAACATTTAGACAGAACAGCGTCGTAATATTTGACGTGTGGTCTTCCTAGGCGATACTGAAGAGGACTGCATTGTTTTTTCAAAACCAAAAACGAAGCGGACTTGCCCTTTAACGGTGAAACTTGTTTTTTTTTTTTGGTTAGTTGCTTCGGATTTTGTGAAACCACATTTTGTGAAGCCGAGGCCTGTGAGGTCCCACGATGCAACGCGCGCAGTGTTGCATTATGGGACGTCACACACCTACATACCGGTTAAGTTTCTCCTGAACTAGTATAAGTCACGTGACATTGAATCAGGTGACGTGCATTTCTCTACTAAATTTAACGGGGAAATTAACGTTCCGTGACCTACAGACCGATTCAGTTTCCCCGCTAAATTTAGTGAGGAAATGGACGTCACGGGACCCGATGTCACGTTATGATCTTCACGTAGGCAACACAATTTCCCACAAAATTGCCATATAATTTTTTTTTTTCTTTCGGTGTTATCGATATTTTGGCCACCGACGGGTCGACACCCTCGGGGCCCTGCTCGTCCGCACTCGGAATGAAGATCGTCAAAATGGAGTCGATGGCCCTTCGTGTTGCCGACTGCTCCGGCAGTCAAAGCCGATCACAACGCGAAAGAAGTCGAGCGTCATCGGGGTCACTTGTTTTATGGGCCACGTTTCCTATACGCGCAGCGAGGACGTGACGAACGCGTCGATCGTTTGCAAGCGTCTCAGACTTTCCAGACGCTTTTCCTCTCGCCACCAAAAGACGCGATCATTCGGCGAGGAGGCCGCCCTTACATTGCAGACGCTCCTTCCCACTGGGCAAAACTTGATCCACGTCCGGAGCTCCGATTTGTGCAGCCCGACTTACGGGGCTCCAGGAAGACGTGAGCCACTCTGGCGGACACGGGGCATCGCAGGGCTTGACCGAGGCCGGCCGTTCGGCGGCCGGACAGTGTCCCTCCGGCACGACGAGGGTCCAACGTCCGCCCTGCTGGCCCACGCAGAGCACTTCCCTCTGCCGGGTCCCGTTGCCGCAACGCGGGGAGCACTGCAGGCCGACCGGATACCTCACTTAAACAGACCCTATTGAAAAAACCAGCTTAAGCTGGTCCCAGCTTCAAGCTGGGTTATTGCCCCAGCATGCCAAGCTTGGCATGCTGGTCATGCTGGTTGATCTGGTCCCAGCTTCAAGCTGGGTTATTTCCCCAGCATGCCCAGCTTGGCATGCTGGTCATGATGGTTGATCTGGTCCCAGCTTCAAGCTGCCCAGCTTGGCATGCTGGTCATTCTGGTTGATCTGGTCCCAGCTTCAAGCTGGGCTATTTGCCCCAGCACGCCCAGTTTGGCATGCTGGTCATGGTGGTTATACTGGTCATGCTGGTGGACTTCCCAACCAGTTTAAACTGTTTAAATAAATGCACAGGATAAACAAGCCAAGCCCTTCAGAAAAGCCAACTCGGCATCCAATTTATTATTTTCGTACTTGTGGCCGCCTCACATCAACTGTGATGCTACATATCCTCGGCGCTCACACAGTATACTAACCGATGCACAGGCAGTGGTTCTCGGTGCAAAGCCAACAATGTTAATAAAACCAGATTGCTTATCTTTCATCACAAAAAAATACTAGACACACGCCAAAAACAGGCCTAGCTAAAGAAAAAACTACTCGGATGAGAGAAGCAAACCTGGGGTCCCGCCAGTGATGGGGGCAAAGCGGCAACTTGCGTGGTCGGCAGAGGCGAGGAAATCCATGTGGCTTGGCTGGAATTGGCGATACTCCCCGGCACAACCGTCATTCACGAGCACACACACGTTCTAAGACACGAAGCGACGCTTCAGTCGGGACGTCCGACATCTTCCCGCACTGAACGGACTGCCGCTCGCTGTCTCCTCAAAACCCGCTTCGCTTGCATCGTCGTTCAACTAGTCTCCAAACAACGCGCACACAGCCGTCCCTTCGAAAATCTGCCGAAGATAACCAAACGTGTCTAAAATTCTCCGTTCCTACCACTCTCTCTCTCTCTCTTTTCTCGCATACAAATGTAGCTTGCAGCGCGCCTGACGCGCCCTGTCGTCTTCCAAAAACGAGAGGACAAAGAACAGGACGTGGCCTCGTTTTATCCTAAGCCGACCTTGGCGCGCGCGCTCCCAGCAATGCCATTTCGGCTATCTCTAGCCGACCTTGGCGTGCTCGCTCCCAGCATGACCAGCTTGACCGCCACGATTATTTGTTCGACCAGATTCACCAGCTTGTCTCCCAGCTTGACCACATTGGCTCCATGGAAAACCAGTTTGACCAGTTAGGACCAGACTGGCTCCCAGCTACACCAGATTGAATCTAAAACCAGATTCTAGTTAGACCATGCTGGTTTTTATTTAAACCAGACTGACCAGCTTAAATTCTACCTTGCCCAGCTTAAACCAGCTTGATTGCCAGTTAAACCAGTTTGACTACCACATTGACCAGATTGACCAGCTTAGTTACCAGCTTGGCCAGTTTGATTTTCATGGTGGTTTTTCCAATAGGGGAGCAACGGAATACCGGTCACTCCAGTCAGAGAGTAACCGCGGCTACGTAACTCGTCAATGCAATTTGGGAGAAACGCTTCACCTCATATTGAAAGTAACGAGCGTTATTTTTTTCGTCACTCCGAATTTGTCGTTTTTATGAAGCGGTAGCCGCTTGCAAAGTTTGACGTCGTTAAAAACTCCTCGCTTTTTAGCGCGTTCATGCAGGGATAACTGCGGCTAATATCTGACATACGTTTTGTACATTTTGTTTTTTGTTGTCTCCTTTTCTTGTCGTGCAAGTTACACGCGCAACTTTGGGTGTTGTGCACGCGTTACCATCCAGAAGTAACTAAATACCGCTATTCGATACTTTTTTAAGTCACAAAAAATGAAAGACGTTTCCAATTCCCTGTAATGCCGAATTAGAACGCAGCACTTGAGAAAGAAGAGGGGAGGGTACGGAGAGGAGGGTATGTCCCTCCTCCTTTTCCTCCCTCCCTTCCTCCTCCTTTCTTCCTCCCTCCTCCCTCTTGACGTCACCCCTGACCCTCGTGAAGGTCGTGAACTTCACGAGTGAAGGTCATGACATTCACGTGACCTTCACTGTGAAGGTCGTGCCGTTCACGAGTGACTTCGTGACGTCACACGTGACGTCACGTCTGACGTCATTGTGGGAAACCTCCCATAATGCAACGCGCGGTTACGGCGACGCCGCTCAAGACGGAAACGGGCTCCTGAGAGCTGCGCTCTGAAATACGTCATTCTTCCTTCCCGTAGAAACGTGAACACAAAGAACAGTCGGAGTTGGTCCAGGTGTCTTCAGAGGACGGATGGTGGGACACTCGCCTGAGACCAGGGCCCAGCGTACCAGGAGGCCGTGCAGGGCTCCAGGCAACGCTGCTCGGAGCTAGGGCGTTCCAGAGAGTCGCAAGACTTGGGGCCGGCCGCACACACAAGCCGCCGTTTCTGGACGCCCGGGACGCACCGGCGGGAACACTGCGGATAGAATAGAAACTCTGGAGACCGCTAGTCATCGATAACAATATAACGATATAGCATATCAGTATACTGATATGCTATTCGCGTGTCGCTATTCGCGTGTCGCCAGTGCCGCGCTGTAGTATACTACAGCGCGGCACTGGCGACACGCGAATAGCGAAGCGAAGGGCGACGAGTATCTAGAGTCGGTGACAGGTTAAGAACCCAGTAGACGGTCCGCCTCCAGGAGGCGCTCGCGTGCTGCTTTTAATAAAACCCAGGTTTTATTCAAAGCAGAGTATGCACATTAATCCGAAATCGCAAAAGACATACGATTGTGCTACACTAAAAAAAAAAAAGTGAAAGCTGCTTACAACTCCCTGTAACGCCGAATTAGAGCGCAGCTCTTGAGGAGGAGGAGGGAAGGGCACTGGGGGGGGGGGTTAAACTAACCAGGGGGGTCACGTGACCCCCAATGCCGGTGATGTCATCACTGACGTCACTGATGACGTCATCAGTGACGATGACGATGCGGGTACCGATGACGTCATTAGTGACGTCACTGATGACTTCACCAGTGATGATGACGATGCGAATGTCGGTGACGTCATCAGTGACGTCGCTGATGACGTCATCAGTGATGATGACGATGCGGACGTCGGTAACGTCATCAGCGATGATGACGATGCTGATGCCGGTGACGTCATCAGTGATGATGACGATGCGGATGCCGGTGACGTCATCAGTGACGATGACGATGTGGATGCCGGTGACGACATCAGTGACGTCACTGACGTCATCAATGATGATGACGATGCGGATGCCGGTAACGTCATCAGTGATGATGACGATGACGATGCGGATGCTGGTGACGTCATCAGTGATGATGACGATGACGATGTGGATGCCGGTGACGTCATCAGTGATGATGACGATGACGATGTGGATGCCGGTGACGTCATCAGTGACGATGACGTCATTGGGGTCACGCGACATCGGCGGGGGTCACGTGACCTCAGGGGAGTCACGTGACTTCGGGGGGTCACGTGACCTCGGGGGGTCACGTAACCTCGGGGGGGTCACGTGCCCCCCACGAGGTCACGTGACCCCGGTGGGGGGCTCGCGCGGTGCATTATGGGACATTTCCCATGATGCACCGGGGTCACGTGACCTCGGGGGGTCACGTGCCCCCCCACGAGGTCACGTGACCCCGGTGGGGGGCTCGCGCGGTGCATTATGGGACATTTCCCATGATGCACCGCGCGGTTACGCCGACGCCGCTCAAGCCGGAAACGGGTCCCCAAAGAGCTGCGCTCTAAAAGGACGTGGACGGGAAGGAATACACAACGTTTCGGGCAGACGCCCTTCTTCAAGTGATACACGAAAAAAAAAAGTGAAAGCCGTTTACAACTCCCTGTAACGCCGAATTAGAGTGCAGCTCTTGAGGAGTAGGAGGAGGGAAGGGTACTGAGGGGGGGGGGTGAACTGACCGGAGGGGTGGGTCACGTGACGATGACAATGCCGATGATGTCATCAGTGATGTCACTGATGACGTCATTAGTGACGTTACTGATGGCGTCACCAGTGATGATGACGATGCGGATGTCAGTGACGTCATCTGTGATGATGACAATGACGATGCCGGTGACGAAATCAGTGACGTCACTGATGACGTCATCAGTGATGTCACGTGTGACATTATCGTCACTGATTTCGTCATCAGTGACGTCGCTGATGACGTCATCGGCATCGTCGCTGATGACGTCACCAGTGACGTCACGCGTCCCATAATGCACCGCGCGGTTACGCCGACGGCGACGCCGCTCAATCCGGAAACGGGCGCCTAAGAGCTGCGCTCTAAAACAGTGCGCGAAAGAAAGTTTCGTGTTGAGACCACGGCGCAATTATGTTTTGAGGTCGAAGATAAGACGGCTTTCCTCTCTGTTTCGCACGGAGGAGGGGAAGCCTGATCTGATTATAAGAACGCGCATATTTAGCTCAGTGTGGTCGGGGGTCGAGAAACGGTTAGCTACATGTGTGGATTGTTCTGAAGGGAGGTTTTCTGGCAATTTTCAAGTGACAAGACGGTGACTCCGGTCACGCCATTCACAGCCAAGTCTTTCCATGGAGGCGAATAGTCGGTAAGACAAACTGCTTCGTGAGGTCCGGAATAGAGCAAAGCCATCAGTGCCCGCTCTACGGCGCATCGCAGATTTGTAGGTGCGCAGCCTGTTGGATGACGCCTCAGGCTTCTTGCTTAGCTGAACTTGTTGCCGAGTTGAAGCCTCGGTATTTTACCAGCGTTCAAGTGCAGATGCACTAATATATTGTCGATCACTGCAACCGGCAAAAAGATTACTTTGTGATGCACTGGAATTCCTTAGTTCCATGGGCACCCTTAAAGGGGCCCTCCGGAGCGTTCTGCGATGGTCTGTTTATGGCGGTAACTCAATCTGCAGGCCCTAAAGATCCCAAAAATCATAAAATTACGGTCATGCGCGGCGGATTTCTCTACTAAAATTGCTATCAAAGTCCCCGGCACGCCCCCCTTTCTGAGATGACCCCGGAAAACGGGAGGGGTATCTCTTTACGCGTCAGCCAATAGCAAGCGAAGGATCCCGGCGTCACTGCGCGTCACCAACGCCGCCGACCGCCGACCCACGGAAGAATCTCTCGAACACGCGCGGAATGTCGTCAAGGGACCCGGACTTTGTGCTCGGCAGTCGTCGTTCGTCGCACCGCACCGTCGCGCTGCTACTGCAATACGCAGTCGCATCCCACAGATGACAAGGAACAGTTTGACTCGTTGACGTGGAAGGATCGCAAAGCTGGCTTCGGAGTCGGGATCCACGGCAAGAAGGAACATGTGTCCCACAAACGCACGCCTGCAGACGCCCCGGGAAGCATACGAGCCGACGCGCCGACGTATCACCCCCTAGCAACAAGCTTGCGGGGAGAAAACATAGTTCGCTAGTTTTGGAGCGATAATTGCGGACTGTGTTTCCCGCACCACAATCAGTTTACGTTTTTCTCAAACTCTAATTTACAACAAGCTTAAAAAGTGTTGCAATAATAACGTTCGCATTCACCGCGGGACGCAGCATTTCCATTGGTCAAGTTTTAGCGATGGGCAGGGAATGGGGGATTGTCTTCCAAAAGAAAATAGTCCCGATATATTTCTTCTGCCATCTGCTTAATAAACGGTTTTGTAATCTAAAACTTTGTATACACATTAACTTGCACCTACTACGCAATATAACAATATAAATAGACGATCGCAGAAAGCTCCGGAGGGCCCGTTTAACAACTGTACAATGTGACTGAGGTCAGACGGTGCCCGTATAACGAGGGCTTAAGAAGCAGTCAGGGAATCGGCGATTGACGGGTATAGGTGGTTGAGGACTGACGGTTAGAAACAAATGGTTGAAAACAGATGGTTGGGGGATGGCGGTTGGACAACAACGGAACCGTGCGGCCGCTCCTGGCCGCGTATGCGGAAAAGCCTGTGAAGTAAGTCAACAGGCGAATCTCTGCCCCCTGATTGGCGCGTTTTCATACACGTGGCATCGTCTGTCGGACATCGGGTAAGCAAATCTGGGAGCCGACTTAAAGCTAAAAAAAAAAAAAAAACCGTCTCACCTACGATAAACAGAAGGCCAAAGGCTAGTTAGAAACCAACGTGTGTATCAGTGCGCGAGTTTTGGAGATACGCATGCCGGAATAACATGTGGTTCCTAACTTGCTCGTGGCATGGATCCGGCAGCCTGTTGCTTTGGTCTTTAGTTTATCATAGGGTGAGACGATCGAGAATCACTGAGGCGTCTTTATAAGCCTCCGTCCCTTCCCCTCTCTCTGTCTCTCTCTCTCCCTCGGCAAACCAGGCACCAGAGGGCCGAAATTCGACCGTTGACTTCCTTCACAGGCTGTTCCGAAGACGCCTCCGGGCTTCGGCTTTGGCGAACCTTTTTCCTACAGGGGGCACAAACTTACGCGTCCCGCCCTTGCTGCATGTGGTGGCCTTGAGATTTAACTGCTGGACACGTCATGCTTGTAATCAACGAAGTTACTGTCTCATTTATATTTACAGCTCCATGCAATCTTGCACCGTGGAAGGAATATGGTCTGTGGAGAGCGTGTCCAGTGTGAGCCATACCTGGGACCATTCGGAGAAGAGCCAGGTGGCGGCGCATGGTGGCATGTCGCAGACTTGTTCGCTCGCAGGACGGAGTTTCGGGTCGCACGAGGAGTTCCGGTGGCCGTCGCCACAGGTCACGTGCCGCTTTTGAAGTCCCTTGCCACACTCGCTGCTACACTGCGCCGTCAGCCGACATTCCATGGGGAGTTTGGAAACAATTTTCTGACGATACTCGGCATAGATAGAATAGACCCCTTTGGAGAGTCGCGCGATTATTAGAAAGTCGGAACCACTGCACAATGGCGGATCAAAAGACATCATGAAAAGTGCAAGTCATTTCATTAGATAGCGAACGTGGGATCGTGGCCAACGATATAGAAGCCGACGAGCCAATCAAACATCGTCAAAAGTGCAACGTCACTGCGCTCATGTCTTTTTTTTTCTAAGTGTATGTATGCCCTCTATTGACACCAAACGCATGAAGTGTGCCGTGACGTTATGGTTTCAGTCCACCATTGTGCGGGGATTCCACCAGCTGCCAAACGAGGGCAGTCTTTCAAAAAGGTTCTATTGGACAGGAGATCGAACTATAGGGGACGCTTTATCGAGCTCGTCCCCAAAGCCACCAGCACAGCATAACAAAGAAACTGAACCTCGCCAAGCCAGCACCACCAAGACAGAAAGCCTCCGCATGGCCTCCTCTCCCTTCATAAAACGTCATCAGAGTCGGATCGCGCTAACTCGGCTATTGGGCCCGAGCCCGACCTTCGACCCTCTGATTGGACACGAGCCTTAGCCGAACGCTGACGCAGCATTCGTGACCAATCACAGGCCTCGATCGATGTGACTGTGATGACGCGTGCGGAGGCTTTCTGTCTAGGTGGCGTTGGTTTACCCCACTCGTCACGCGGAGCATTGGGAGATGGTAGCGCGGAGGACAAATTACGGCCCTCAGATTATTAGATATACCCTGCCTAAATTTCTCAGCCAGTTTGATGCTAGTGAGTTGGATCTGATTAGGATGTCATTTAAGCAACTTAGAGAACATTTTGGAAACCTAGATAGGCAAAATAACAGTGATCTGGCGGTTTGTTTAATATTCCCAGGATCGTTCAATCTTCCTTGATATGTGTGTTGTGCTCGTATATCATCCACCCGTTTTGTACACTCGCATGAAGTAGCATTTTTGTCCTGTACCTATGCTGTTTTGCTTATGTAGGTGGTCGGGGGAATCGTCAAGTTGTATTTCACAGCTTTTTCCCTCGACCTCCATCATCAATGTAGATGGAAATAAACGAATTATCAGAGTTCTTGGTCAGAGCAACACCACCTATGGACAGAAGGCCTGTAGTTCGTATTACAAACTCGGCCCATAAACCACGCATTTGAAAATTCTCTGTAAACCCTAATTGTTCACTGCCACGGCCTACTACAAGTCGGGACTCAATTGTGACGAAATTAAGTGGCCCTAGTGTGTCTGTCATCATTACGACGGGATATAAGGTTCTTACAAATTCCGCAAGTCTTTTCCGCGGCGCAAAAGTTGAGCGAACGTAATCTGTGTGCAGCGGCTAAAAAGGACCTGCCGATGCAACCCCAAGATTGGTGGACATCGGCGCGTCCCTACAACTTGCGCCATCTATCGGCTACCAAAAGCGGGGGCCACCGTAACTCAATGGGCGAAAGCCGTTTATATTCACCTACTCAAAAACTCGGCCAATAATCGCTTTGCACTCATTAAGGTTGTGTTAGGTGCGGTGTCCGAACTTTTTGGGAAAAATTTAGAAATCGTACGATCAAGTTATACACAGCCAAATGACGATCAAAAATATTTACATTGCGTCTATGGCAAGACCCGAAGAAAAAGACCGAGTTTTAATGAAAGATCGTTGTTCTACAGAAAACGTCCTCCCATACTGGACTGCACTCATCAGTAACAGGTTGCCAAGGGACTCAGCTATCTTTTAGTAACTTTCATTTTTAGTTTAATTAACTTTAAAGTAGACCGCCATTGCTCCGAATATTTAAAGGGAATGCTGCGCAACCTGTTTACGGCTTGCAAATAGCATATGAAGATTGTGGTGCTCCGAATTAACACATGAGAAAAAAACTTCTTAACCATCACTTTTACATAAACAAAGCCTATAATACAACAGTCACAGTACTCAAGGTTTGAGCCCGGGTTTAGAATTAATAGTTATTTTATCTGTATCTTAGTTCCATTAAAATGTACCACCGTCTTACATGTTGCCGCTGCGTGGAAAGTGGCAAAACACGCAGATACCGCACGAGGTTTGAACCCCTCGTGGGGTTCAAACCTCGGTAAGACAGCTAAAAGGGCGAGATATGGATCTGAAATCCCAGTTTTTCGATGAACGCGCATTCCTATACCCAAAGGCTAGAACTCCTAGGTGTGTCAAACCTTGAATATACCGTAGGCTATTATTTTCCGGTTTTAACCGAAAAACACCGATTCGCATTCGCCGGTGTCGAAAGTATGAAATCGGTTAAAGCCCAAAAACACCGGTTTTTACATATTTTCGAGCAAACGCTGGTTTCTTTTTTTTTCTTTTTTTTTTCACTGATAACTCCTGTAGTTTTAACCGATAAACATCCGCCGGCGACGGAAATAAAAAATCGTTCAAAACAAAAATACCACGGTTTCCATATAATTTTTCTCTAGCAATGTTTTTGTCGGTTTTTTTTTTTTTTTTTTTTTCACTTAAAAAGTCCAACACGAACTTTCGTCAAACACATTATCATGCCCGGAATCATGCATTTTGCCTGTCTTTCTTTTGTGACCTACCTGTTCTTGGACTCAAAAAAAAAAAAAAAAAATTGGCTTGCTCTTTATGTTTATACAGCCTTGATGGAGAAGCGCCTCAACGGGTAATCGGTCTCTTAGCTGTAGATGAGAAATTTAGCCAGTGCGGTACAACCGCTAACCTGGAATTTTTAAAGTGCATCACGCAGTAGTGATCACACGAACGCGTGCCGGCACGAAACTCATCCAGATCGATACGGGCGGGGGTGGCGGGGACTCGCTGGGAACCCAGGAGGTTCCCAGCGCAAGCTTTCGCTCCACGCTCCGAGCTGAGACGCGTTAGCCCACTCGGCCACTTCCTCCCTTGTTCTTGGACTCTTGGAGAACAGTAGCTTTCTTCAACTGTTCCCTAAGGCCAGCGATCCTCCTGGGTCATCGACCTTGAAGATTACTATTAGTGGACCGAGAGGCCAGCTACAGCCGGTGCTCTTGTTCTCTTGAGATGACAACCTCCTCAATGGCCTTGTCCTATACAAGTCAGAACGGGAGAATTATGTGAAAGAGATTCTGTAAAAGATGTAAATAAAATTTGAACTGTTCTTCGTCTTCAGTGGTTGTTTACGTTCGCAATTTTTCCTCCCGATAATCACCGTTTTAGCACCTGCACGAGAGAATTCAGCGAAAACCACCGGTGTTCTAGAAATAAATAAACACTGATAAACATCCGCCGATTTTCGTCATAAATAAACACCAGAAAGTATACACCCTAGATATACGATAGTTCCATGTTGCACAAGAGCGTCACGACGAGTGCAAACGCAATTTCTGTGTAAATAAATTAGAGTAGGGTCATAAAAAAAAAGTTCCAACAGCCAAGAAACCCGGGAATTATATCGGAAAGACCAAATCTTCGACATACGCGCAATCGTCCTGCCCAAAGACTAGAACCCCGAGCCGAGTCAAACCTTGGTTTTAGGATAGTTTCATGTGTGTAAAATAGCGTCCCGCCGAGTGCAAACGCGATTTCGGCATAAATAAATTAGAATCTGGTCATTTAAGAAAGGTTACTCTGCCAAGAAAAGGCGCGAATTATATCAGAAAGACCACTTTTTCGACATACGCGCAATCGTCCTGCCCAAAGACTAGAAGCCCGAGCCGAGTCAAACCTTGGTTTTAGGATAGTTTCATGTGTGTAAAATAGCGTCCCGCCGAGTGCAAACGCGATTTCGGCATAAATAAATTAGAATCTGGTCATTTAAGAAAGGTTACTCTGCCAAGAAAAGGCGCGAACTATATCGGAAAGACCACTTTTTCGACATACGCGCAATCGTCCTGCCCAAAGACTAGAACCCCGAGCCGAGTCAAACCTTGGTTTTAGGATAGTTTCATGTGTGTAAAATGGCGTCCCGCCGAGTGCAAACGCGATTTCGGCATAAATAAATTAGAATCTGGTCATTTAAGAAAGGTTACTCTGCCAAGAAAAGGCGCGAACTATATCGGAAAGACCACTTTTTCGACATACGCGCAATCGTCCTGCCCAAAGGCTAGAACCCCGAGCCGAGTCAAACCTTGGTTTTAGGATAGTTTCATGTGTGTAAAATAGCGTCCCGCCGAGTGCAAACGCGATTTCGGCATAAATAAATTAGAATCTGGTCATTTAAGAAAAGTTAGTCTGCCAAGAAAAGGCGCGAACTATATCGGAAAGACCACTTTTTCGACATACGCGCAATCGTCCTGCCCAAAGACTAGAACCCCGAGCCGAGTCAAACCTTGGTTTTAGGATAGTTTCATGTGTGTAAAATAGCGTCCCGCCGAGTGCAAACGTGATTTCGGCATAAATAAATTAGAATCTGGTCATTTAAGAAAGGTTACTCTGCCAAGAAAAAGCGCGAACTATATCGGAAAGACCACTTTTTCGACATACGCGCAATCGTCCTGCCCAAAGGCTAGAACCCCGAGCCGAGTCAAACCTTGGTTTTAGGATAGTTTCATGTGTGTAAAATAGCGTCCCGCCGAGTGCAAACGCGATTTCGGCATAAATAAATTAGAATCTGGTCATTTAAGAAAGGTTACTCTGCCAAGAAAAGGCGCGAACTATATCGGAAAGACCACTTTTTCGACATACGCGCAATCGTCCTGCCCAAAGGCTAGAACCCCGAGCCGAGTCAAACCTTGGTTTTAGGATAGTTTCATGTGTGTAAAATGGCGTCCCGCCGAGTGCAAACGCGATTTCGGCATAAATAAATTAGAATCTGGTCATTTAAGAAAGGTTACTCTGCCAAGAAAAGGCGCGAACTATATCGGAAAGACCACTTTTTCGACATACGCGCAATCGTCCTGCCCAAAGGCTAGAACCCCGAGCCGAGTCAAACCTTGGTTTTAGGATAGTTTCATGTGTGTAAAATGGCGTCCC